CTTTAGAGGTCAATGAAAGTGTAAATTCCAACAGAAAATTAGCCTTTAATTATATTTCTTATATTTAGATTATTCAGACAGACTTAAAGAGTCAAAAAACTAAGTTTTTAAATTCTTAAAAACATAAAACTTTTAAATATGCTCATTATTATAAATATTTCATATAAATTTTGATAAAGATTAATAGAAAAAACAAAACAAAAATCAATCTCTTGGTTTTCTGTGTCAAATTTCTCACCAAAAATATTCAAAATTCACATACAAACCTTGCAAAGGGTTTACTTTTTAAAACCAACCATAAAACCAAGTTTATAAATTTTTTAAATATAAAAAAATTAACCCATTAGTGTTGATTCTAAGGTTACTATCGAACAAAAGTGAGTCCAAGGTTCGTATCAATGTGGAGCTTAGACGACGCCCGCCAGGCTGCCACTGTCAGACGAGCTGGGCTGGCAGTAAGCTGTTCTCCCTTAACCCTTCGACATCCTACCCCCCTTAACCCTTTCCCCCATCAATGGAGCTGCTGTTGCAACCCCAAAGTTAACCCAGGATTGCCCCTTTGGCAAGGCTCCACGTGGCCGCCATGGCTGCATTATTTGTGCTCATATGTGGCCTGTGTGCCGCTGGTACCACCGATTTCTCTGGCTCCTTTGGGCCAACAAATTCCCAGTCTCCAGTCTGCAGTCTCCAGTCACCCGCCTCTTGCCTTAACCCTTGGCTAGCTTTTATGCCCGCAGATTTGGGTTAAAAGTAGCTTCCCTTGTGTATTTAATAGTATTCCAGACTCGCCTTCATCTTTTGCCAGCTGCAATTGTTATGTGCAGCAAGGGGGGTTGAAAAGTGTTGAGTTGCCCTCCTTAGGAACAAAAAAAAAAAAAAAAAAAAATATATAGTAATAAAAGAGAAGGAATATATATAGGAATGATGTCGCTTTTCTGCTTGGCATGCATTGCATTGGCAAAAGAGGATGCCAAAGTCAAAGAATTTCCCTCTAGCATCAGATACTTTTGTATGCAAATTTCTCAGCTTTCGAGTTTGGGTCGAGTTTTGGATTTCCATTTCCATTTCTATTTGAGTTATGTAAGTGCACGTACTCCCTTTTCAAATACCACTCGCATTCACATTCCCATTCGCATTCACATTTCACATTTCACATTTCACATTCACATTTCACATTCCACTCCCTGCCATTCAGGATTATTTAATTTATTTGTTTAATCTTTTAAGTCTTTAATGGTACTTGCAAAATGAAATTACAATTTCAAACAAAAAATATTGACTGAGTGGCAAAAACAAAGCACACAACTTGCTCTTGTTATTAATTAAATAGCATTAACTGCCAAAGACCAAGTAAAGCCTTGGCCCAATCATTAGCAGCACAAAAAATACATAAATTTTGCTGGCAAAAACCCATTTTGGCCATTTTGAAATAAATATAGCAAAAAAGAAATTTCCCAGAAATCATCAACATCAATTATATTAAAGGGAAAATGTAGGTAAGGCTTTTGGAATTAATTAGCAGCAACCATGGGGAAAACATGACAATAAAAGAAAGAATTTATTTTTAGAATTGAAAAATGGTAAAGTTGAAAGAAGCTTTTGTAAAATTGTACTTGCTGATGAAATATATTCAAGGTATTTGTTGTAGGAACATAATTAAGGTAAAAATAAATTGTTAATTATAGAGAATAAAATTAATAATTAGCAGAATATTAAATTTAGATTAATGAATAATTAAAATAACTAAAAATAAATAATTTTACATAATAATAAAGGAAAATATACTTGAAAAATATATAAAATAAATCCAATAATAACCAGAATATTAAATATAGCTTAGAAAATATTAAAAATAAATAGTAAAATATTGTAAATATAATTTTAAAATATAAAAAAATAAAACGTATAATTGCCAGAAAATTAAAATTAGCTCAAAAAAAATAATAATAAATAGTAAATAATGTAAAAAATAATTTTAAAAATATAAAATAAATCCATTAATTGCCATAAAATTAAAGCTTAAAAAATATTTCAAAAAAATAATAAGTAAGATAAACATAATTTTAAAAAAGAAATTATATTTAAAAAAATATAAAATAAAGCTTATAATTGCCAGAAAATTAAAGTTAGCTTAAAAAATAATAATAATAAATAGTAAAAAAGGCAAATGTAATTGAAAAATATATAAAATAAATATAAAAATAACTGATAATTGCCAAAAAATTAAAATTAGCTCAATAAATAATAATAATAAATGATAATAAAGGTAAATATAACTTTAAAATATGTACATGCAAACTGAGAATTGCCAGAAAATAGAAATTTAGCTTTAAAATACATTACTATATTTAAAAAAATATATAATAATTAAATATTTCAATAATTAAATATTTAAAACCTAAATAATATATCTAATAATTTAAAACAACCAAGAAGAACAAGAACAGTGTAACTAAAGCCACAAAGTACTTATACTAAGCTTGCAGAGTCAGAAAACTTAAAAGTAGAAAAGAAAAAAGCAAAAAATAAAAAGGAAAAACAATGCCAATGAAACTGCAAGACTGGCAAACATCTGCCACATTTGTAACTCCCTCAAAAAAAATAAAACTAGACAACAAAACCCACATAGAACATAGCAAACCTGCAACCCCACCTGCCAATATCCTTTATAAAGCCCAGGAAAAAAAGGATAATAACGAAAACGAACACACGAGTACAATGGATATGGCCACATCCGATATCCTTCGGTTTTCGATAACAATTAAAACTAAGTGAAACAGGCTGAAAAACAACAGCGCAATCACATATCATTAGATTTAATTGTTAAAGCCTAACCAACCAGCAACATCATCATCATCAGCAACAGGCAATCACAGGACATTTTCCAATTTTTTTTTTGTTTGTAACTGCCTTTTGGCGACCACAAAATCGGATATAAAAATCGGTTGTAACCCACAAAATTTGATTTTAATTTGAAATTGTCAGGGGCAACCCGTAAACGAGAGAGTTCAAATGAAATTGAACACTTCACTTTGCAAGGGGGAAGGCCAAGTGGCTTTTTGGAATCCTTTACCTAGAAAAGGTGGCAGGTAAAAGCAATTTGCAGTTAATTAGCAGACTAACAGCCACAAAAGGCATCCTAAGCTGATGCCTGCATAGCAGTGCAAAGTGCAAACTGGCCGCAACAAAGATGAAAACTTCAAGTTGACCGCACAGAGGATCCTTTTGCCAGATTGTGTTGTGTGTGCATCCTCAAAAACAAGGCATTAATTTCAACCGATTTCCTTTTGCAAATTCAATTACTATTCCCCGAGGACCAAAAAGGGATAATGTGGTGAGAAAAGGGGAGCAACAGGGCGAAAGGGAGACAGGGAGAAAAGGTACAGAGAGATTTCCTGCCAAAAACAATGTCAAATTGTCAGATGGTTGGATGTACGGTCGGCTGACGAGTGATTAAATGCGTAGAACAGCACGGAAAATGCATTTTCCAGCAGCAGCAGCAGCAGCAGCAGCAAGGTCCCTGTGTAAATGGGTAAATGAGGGAACGCCTGAATGGCCGGCTGACTCTGCATCCACCAAATTGACCCCTGAAGCATATGAAGTGCAAAAAAAGCAGGCTGGCACAGCGTCCAGCAAATTATAATTGATGTTGCACTGCCAGAAAATGAGTTTGAAAATATAATAAAATCGGCGAAACAATTTTTTAGACATATTTCAACTAAAATAATCAATAAAAGTCAATTTAAAATAAAAAACTAATACTTTTTAAGGTTAAAACTTATAAAAAATAAAGGAATTTATTATTATAAATATTATTTAATTTAATTTAAATTAAAACTAAGCACGAAAACGAAAAGTAAAATGTGATAAATAGAATTATCACCCTAAAAAGCATATATAAATCATAAACATTTTTAAATTGTAATTTTATTAATAAAAAAAACTATTTAAAAATCTATTTAATGGAAAAATATCTTCCATAGTTTTTTGTATTGTTTTTTTAACATATTTATTAATATTATTTTTATTACTAGCATTTAATTTCAATAAATTAATAGCTCTTTATAAATAAAAAAAAAAAAAATAAAATTCTTATTTATATATATTTAAATATTATAAACTTAAAAATAAATATCTAATATTATGTAAAAAATTAATAACAAATTTTTAATATTTTTGTAAAACAGAATATCGATTAATGGCTCATATTTATATTTTTACAAATAAAAAATGAATTTTTTTTCAACAACTTTTGCCTAAAAATTCGTTTTAGTATCTAAATATCCCTCTTCTTCTTTTTTTTTTTAATTATTAAAAATTTCCCCATGCAACAAAAACCTTTTAATAATTAGATTCCAACCCCTTTTTCAAGTGTAAAAAGTTTTAGGTGCTCCTCCGCAACGAGGGGTCCTTTTGGATAATTTACAAGCATATTGATTCGATCTGATTCGGTTTGCAATTTGTGCCTCTGTTCCGCTCAATCCCCCTTCGTTAGCCCCCTTCCCCAGCACTTTTCTCTCAGTGTGTGAACAGTGGCAGCTGCTGGGGCCAGCCGTTATTTAACATTAATTTATGCATTACTAGAGCGCTTAAATTAATCAGCGAATGGCGAATGGCTGCTGCAGCAGCATCATCGAAAACAAAATTTAATTCGCCGCAGAAAGCGCTACATCTCTCCTAAAATATAAAAAAAAACCCCTTCAATCGTTTGCAATTAAAGAGAAAAGCGTAAAATTCATTAAGAGCTCAAAAAGAGAATTAACACAACTAAGGCAAAGACAAAGCAAATGTTGGATATACAAAAAGGAAAATGTTTCTTTCATTTTAAGAAAAGGAAAATTACCAAAAAAAAAAGGGGGAGGAAAATGAGAAAACCACAAAACAAAATAGAGAAGAATGAAGGAGAAAGTGGGTTCTTAATTGTTCTTAGAGGAAAATATTTTATTTCACACTTTACATATTTACTAAGCACATTTACGTTTATCTTTTTATCGTTACAGAAATCATCAGATAAATAAGCAGACAGACTTTGGTAATAAAAAAAAGGGTAAGTCGTGGTTATTTTGGGGTTTTGCTTTAAATATATATACTAAAATTATGGAAATAATATTTTAATTATTTTTTATGAATTTATATGAATAATATGAATTTTATAATTTATTTTATATGAAATTATATTAGTTTTATATTTTATTAAGTTAGTTTTCGATGCTTAAAATTTTTTATTTTTTTCGATGTTTAAAATAAGAATTTATAGGAACAATTATTTATAGAACTTAATATTAATTTAATTTGGTTTTATGCATTATTTTTTTATTTTTATTTTTATTTTTAATAATTAAAGATTATATATTTATAGAATTTAATATTAATTTAATTTTATTTATTATATATTTTATTATATTTTTTTTTTTTTAATTATTATTTTTATAAAATGTATAAAATATTATATAAGAATTTTGATTCCCATCCTCCATTTTTACTTTATTTCAAAGGATATATTCAGGATTATTATATTTTTAATATAATTTTCATATTTGTGTCATAATTTCTTTTATTTATTATTTTCTATATTAATTTTATTTATTTTAATTTAATTTATTTATTGTATTTATTTATTTATTAATATTTAAATTTTTTTTAAGGATCTTGGTAAAAACCTCCTCCATAAAAAAGCCCGCCGCTTGACTCCACTCACTTATTCACCAGGAGAGTTCATAACGCCAATTTTGGCCTGGCCTTCTGCCTGACCCCCCATTCTCCTTCTCTTCATCCATCCGTCAGTTGTTCAGCGAGTCAGTCAGTCATTCAGACATTCAGTGAGTCAGTTGGCCAGCAAACTGGGCTGAGCTGAGCTCTGGCGAATGATAAATGGCTGACATTGTGGATTGTAGGCAACATTAAGCGTTGTTGAAGCGCCGCAGATTGCAATCGTTGAGGCTAGAGCACCCACCCTCTCCACTGTAGAATGGACTAGGGAACCACGCCCCTAATCCGCCCACAAGCTGGCAACCCCCACTCAATGGCGAGTTACTTCTACGGTTTTTCATCTACCCCGTTGTCCAGGTGCGTTCCAGGGAATGCTGGAATTTTTGCACACTTTTCTTTTGTTGTTGTAACAAAATATTTCTTTTGATAAATTCAATGAAAAAAATACAAATAAATGGATTTAAAATGTGAGAAAAATATAAGGAAAATATTGTAAAATTGTGGCAAAATTTTCATTTTACTTGGAAATATTTTGTTTGTCTGTTTTAAAATTTTTAAAATTATTTTAAAAAACTCTAAAAATCCTTAAAAATTTTTTTTATATTAAAATATAAGCTATAATAGCTGGCATATTTTTTAAAAATTATTTTTATATTTATTAAAAAAAGAAACCTAAATTGTAAAGCTTTTTTAAATTTTTTAAGCAAGTATTTATTTGATATTTTAGATGCAGAGAATTAATATATTATTAATATCAAAAAAAAATTATGAAATAAATTTACAAACATTTTTTACTGCGAAATCTAGAAAATCTTTTTGAAGACCTTTAATTTTTCCTTTACTTAAATATTTCCTAGAATTTTAAAACCCTTTTCGACTTGTTTTATATTATATTTCATACTAGATTTCAAGCCCGAATAGGAGTCATATTTTTTCTAAAAAATGTATTTCTTAATCCCCAGTAAATCAATAATTTCCAGAGCACCTTCCCCGTTGAGTGTCAAAGTCATGCTTCTCCTGAAGTTTACTGTAACTCAACTCACCTTCTCCTCCTTCTACAATTTATCCTGACAGCCGGCAAGCTTGTAATTTGTAATGTCGAACACGACAAGAGGAAGAGAGAGAGTGAGTGAGTCCTGCCTGGCTGGGGTCATGATTTTCAAATGAAATGCATTTCTGAACTTTTGCGGTGATTTAATGATGTGCCCCGGGAAGTGGCTGGCTCTAAGCACTTGAGAATATGAATCGAGGGGCAAAAAAAATAGCGACACGAGTGTGTAGAGATCATTCCGGTGGCAGGTGCTTGATTAAAATGCGCTCGAATTGATTTGAAAACCAAAGCTAAAACCTAATTCAGAGACCCATTCAGACCTCAATTCAAGCCCCCAATTCAAACCCATATTGTCAGACTCATTGAATTTGCGGTTCTAATTAGCTGCAATTAAGTGATTAAAAGCCATCAGCCGGCTCTGTGGATATACAGATGTCGATCTGGCCATAATTCAGGCCTCACCAAATTTCCGGTTTTCCTTCTGGATTTATGTTGGTTTTTCTCCACACTTTTTTCTCTGTTTTTTTTTTTTTTTGCGCATAATAAATGCCAATTAATTATGACAAGAGCAGTTACAAAATGGAAAGCAGCGTATTTTCTGACAGATAAATCTGTAAATTGTCAACAAAATATTGTGATGACTTTTTAATTAAAAACAATAAAATTGTTTGTCGTATTTTATAAAATACATATATACATATTGACTGTACTCTTACTTTTGCATATATTTTTATTTCTGTGTGTTTATCAATTCTGAACAAACAGCGACAGCCAAAGCCCCAGCATAAGTCCGATTATCGGTTCAGTTCAGTGCCTAGTATTCCCTAAATATATATGTATATCTATATATATATAGTATGTATATATACATAAAGCTTTAATAGCCATGGCCATTTTCCGAGAGGATTTTCAGTTTATCCCCCGATTGATGGACTGCTAGTGCCTCGCATTTTGTTTGGCAAATATTTTTTAGCAATTTGATTGCGTTTTTATGAAGCTTTTGGCCTGGCTTTGGCTGGAAACTAGAGAGTTCAGGTGAAATCGTATATAATCGTATTTTATATATTTTTATGGCTCTAAGGAAAATGAATTTTTGTTATAATACATAAGATTATAATTTATTTTTTATTTATATTTATACATAAGATTATAATTTAATCTTATGAAAATGAACATAATTTATAAGAAAAATTAAAAAATTCAAAGCTTTTATGAAAATTAAAATATGAAAATGATTAAATAATTAATGTTGTATAAAAATGTTTTGATTTAATACGTGAAAAAAGATAAATATATATATTTTATTTATTAAAGAGTGAAATAAGCGCCTAATTTTATTAAAGTTCCACCGGAAAGTAGATTTTTCAGTGTCACAAACTCACAAAAATAATTTAATTAATATAATAATTAATATTTAATTCAATATTTTATTCAATTCATCAAAGTAAATATTTTCCTGTTCTATATTTTATCGATATATTGAGTAAAAAATAATTTTAAATAAAAAATTATTTAACAGAAAGTTGTTATTATAATTTGAAACCTCACAAAATATGCCATGATATCGATATTGCATTTATTTTTGTTCGATATATTATCGATATATCAAAAAAAAAATTGTAATAAAAACCATTTTAGATAATATTTTTATTATATTTTAAAAACATCACAAAATGTGCCATGATATCGATAATGCATTTTTTCTGTTCGATAAATTCTCGATATATTTAAAAAATTATATAAAAATAAATAAAAATCAATTAAACAGACAATTTTTCTTTAATTTAAAACATCACAGTTAATGATATTATCTATATGTTATTGTTATCGATATCGATATCAAAATTCTTGCTTTCGATATACCCTCGCTATATTTCCCACTCCCATCTGTTGCTGCATACTCACTCCCGTATACCCACAATATTGTATACAAATATTACCCATACGTCGTGTTGGACCCTGCAAATATTACCCATACGCCACGTTGTGCACTATATAAAGAGAAAGAGAGGCGGGGGGAGGGGAGCGAAAAAAAAGCAATGTCCAGTTATTAGCTGACCGTTGGAGCTGAGCTCAGTTCGATTTGGCTCTCAACTCAGTTCAGTTACCAAAACTGGCCGGCAAACAAATGACCGTTTTATGGACGGCAATCAAACACAAGACCACAAATACTTCAACTTATGTATTGAGGGGGGGGTCACAACACACACACACACACAGACGCCAACGCCATATGTATGCGCATTGGAACCCTGCCATCATCATCATCATCATCATCATGGTGGCTTGGCAAAAGTTCCAATTTTTCACAGAACTCGACCACAAAATAAAAAACACATTCTTATTACAAATCGTGGCGAGTGGCGTGCCAAAAAAAAAAGAAAAAGAAAAATATAAAAATAAGGAAAAACCAAAAAAGAAAAAGTATGTTTTCATTCCCATAAGTGAAAAAAAAAAGAAGGAGAAGACGAATACCCAAAAACCGAATACCAACTGACGCACTTATTTTGCGCTTTGAATCCAATCACGTACCAATTTTCCAAATTTAACCTTTTTGAGCCCGGGCTCAGTAGCTTCGGCTGCCAATAAAAACCATTTGCCAGAGTGAAATTTATATGGGCGCTTCGATAAAAAAAAAAGGGGGAGAGAGGCAGAAAAAAAAGGAAGAATGTATTGGAGGAGCAAAGAAGGATAATGCGGGGTGCGAGGGGTAAAAGACCACCGCAGGCCTTTGAACCATTTCAATTGACCGAAGGCCAGACTCAGGCTCAGGCCTTTCAGTTACCAATATGCAAGTACTCCGTTTTTTCTGGCTGCTCTTCAAAATGCTGGTAGTTTTCAAAATAAATAAAGTATATAGATTATTACACTTGTAAAAAATGTTACCTAAAATGACTTTAAAAATATATAATTTTTGATGGAATATTTGCAAAGGGAGGCAACAAACACAAGAAACATAAACACTGTCTGTACTTCTGGTTGGTAACCTTTATTTCATTCCAGGTATGCTAAAACCAGTTGGGAATTATATGTGAGATTTTTGGCAAATTTGCCATGAAAAATTTACCAGCAAAACTAATGCTCTTCGTCTTTATATTAAGAAAGAAACTGAACGAAAAAACTCCCTAGATTTAAGAAAAGTAAAAAAATGAAGACTAAAAAATATAATATTTATTTAATATAAACATATATTACTCTAAACTGTTAAGATTTGTATGTCCCATGTCCAATTTGTTCGCTCTTTTTAATTTTCTTATTTTTTTTTTACAAAATACTACTTTATTTGC